TATGTGGAGACAAGTACGATAATTAGTGCTAAACTACTTACTAAATGTTAGTAGGTGTTATTTATGTAAGATAGAAATGGAACGCTTAATCGCCAGCGGAAATTTCAACAGTCATGCAAATGCAGCTTTTGTCATGGCTTTCGACCACAGAAAAATGAACAGACTTACTGCAAATCAGACAAGCCCGGTGTGGATGAGGGGAAGAAGTCGCGAAGTGGCCCTTCAATGTTGACCCGGCGACTTGGTGGTGAATCGTATTTTACAGGGTCCCCGTGCCGTTGGCCGGGATTGCCGTCAAGTCTCTGTGCAACGTCGTTCGATGCCGTCTCGGCACAATCAGTCCCCTCGTCGCTGTTCTCGGTCTCACCACTGTCCTCATCATCGTCGTCCACGGCCTCACCTTCTTCTAGGGACTGTACCTCGTCGGCATCGTTTTCAGTTGTCAATGCTACAGTTGGGGTTGCATCATTCGAGTGCTTAGACTGGCCACCGGCCGATGCCTTTTCTGGCGTGTGGAGAAACTGTCCACTGTTTTGGTTGGAGTTCCCAATCTCAGTGGGTTTTTGGGGCGTTACTGTGGAAAGAAGCGGAGAATATCTCTATACTTGGAGACAAAATCTACACGAAGGGCTAAAACTGGATGCAAATAGTGCGATTAATCCGTTTAACCTTTACCCCTGAAGCGAACAATTTGATTAAACTATGAATTTCACAATGGTGCTATAAATGGATTATGAAAAGAAATTGGCACGAAACACATTGTCGCAGTAATCACCTCCGCCGGCCACAGGACTCGACGAAACTCTCTAGGTTTCACAGCTAAAAACTATGGGATTCCGCGCATTTTCCAACAATTTGGGTCTACTTGTCCTATTCGGTTGAGGCTACTAAGAACGCAACACAATCTACTAATTATTTGTTAGTACACATGTTTTTTAAGAACAATTTGTTTCGATTTGCCATCCGCGGTGAAAAAGGAAACAGCGTCCATTCGCACCAACAGATGACGGAACTGAGAGAACTTTATGCAATCGAATTCAGGAGCGAAATTTAATTTTCCAAATTAAAACGGTCTGGTCCATCTGGGTACAACTTTCTACTGCCGATTTCTCCTCAGTTCCGGAAACCTGTTGAGGAGAGGTTGCAAGGTACATTTTAGACAAGATCGAATCATTCTCTTGTTGGACCAGATACGCAAGAACGCGAAAAGTCTTATTTAGGTCTGTCAGGAATAAAACAGATGACGAGGGCAAAACTGAGAGAACGTTAGCATGCACGCTAAGTTTGAATCGAATTCGGGAGCGAAATGCAAGCTCCCGATTCGAATCACTCTGGTCCACCTGCATACACGATTTCGTATTACTGACAGATGCCTGTTAAGGAAAGACTGCTAGGTACATTTTAGGCAACATCGGATAATTCGCTGGTGGACCAGATAAACAAGAAAGCGAAAAGTTTTATTGAGGCATTTTAAGAAATAAAAAGAGGTATAAAGGTCCCCGACACTCTTACCCTTCTTTTCGCCATCCTCCTTTGTTACCCTTGTCCGGTGCACACTGGCGGTAGGGGTTGTAGGCTCTGTCGATGTCTGCGAGTCCCTGGCCGGTACTCCGGAGAGACGGGAAGTAGATGAGGACGGTGGCGGTTTATTTGGCGAGTCAACAAGGGTAACGCGA